GACGTCGCCGCGCCGTTGTTGTTGTTTACTAATTGGTGAAGTTGTTTACTAGTCGGTGAGGTTGTTTACTAGTCAGTGTGAAGTTGTATACTAATCGGTGAAGTTGTTTACTAGTCGGTGAAGTTGTTTACTAGTCGGTGAAGTTGTTTACTAGCCGGTGAAGTTGTTTACTAGTCGGTGTGAAGTTGTTTACTAGTCGGGGAAGTTGTTTACTAGTCAGTGTGAGGTTGTATACTAGTCGGTGAAGTTGTTTACTATTCAGTGTGAGGTTGTATACTAGTCGGTGAAGTTGTTTACTAATTGGTGAAGTTGTTTACTAGTCGGTGAGGTTGTTTACTAGTCAGTGTGAAGTTGTATACTAGTCGGTGAAGTTGTTTACTAGTCGGTGAAGTTGTTTACTAGTCGGTGAAGTTGTTTACTAGTCGGTGAAGTTGTTTACTAGTCTCCAGCACGAACCGATGGATGAACAACGACCACCACGTGAACCGCTACCGATTTCTCCGCCGCGTCCACTCCGTACTCACCCTTCTCTTCTTTCTTGCCTTGGCTTCGGCTAGCTTCTTGATTGGACGGGCGTTGATCTCCAAGAGCTGCTGTTTGTACTCCCTCACCATGTCCTGCAACAAGACAACGGCGTCAGTCTAACGTACGCGGACGCCGCAAACTCACGCAAAAACATAAAACTACGGCCTCAACGAAAATCGGTACGACGAAACAATTAATGAAAGTGTCAATGACACTATAGCTCAAATTTGGTAAGTGTTTCATTTATGATGGACCGAAATGTGATCAAATGTCCTTATTCCCTGTTTTATACTAATATAAATTTCACTGTTTTGTTTCAGTGTTAGTTTTGATGTTAAATGATCGCCATTTTGGTTTTCAATTATCGCACAAATAAAAGCAATAAAATATGCCAGTCAAATTACTGTAACGAAGAATCTAAAACACAATATTACACGTAGGTACCGTATGATTAGGTAGTAGGTAAATTTAACAAAATCGAATGAATCTAGATGGCCATTTTCATTTTTGCCAAAAAGTGGGCGTGGCTCGAAATTAGGGCGACTGGTGTGCTCCAAAATAGGACGTTCACATCTCTCCCATAGGAGTAAAGCTGTGCACACACTACGCGATTTTTCATGCGATCGAGCCGGCCGGCTCAGTCGGGCGACTCTGTGGACACACTACGCGACTGAGTCAGGCAACTCTGTGGATTTTCAGCACGCTGATTGGCTGATGAATTGTACAATCGGCCGGCTCAATCGCAGACCCGGGCACACTAGGCAATTGCAGCCGGCCGGCTCAAATAATTATCAAACATGTTTGAATCGGGCGACTCGGCCGGCCGACTCAAAAATCGACCGTGACTCACTGGACACACTACGCGATTTTTCATGCGATCGAGCCGGCCGGCGCGGTCGGCCGGCTCGATCGCATGAAAAATCACCTAGTGTGTCCCCTTAACAACTGTATGCAATTTGAAACGTGTGGGTCAAACGGTTCTCAAGTTATCGTTGTTCGTAGCCAAATGTTGACGGACGACGGACGACACCCCACGGCAATAGCTCATCTTGACGATGTGAAGGCGAGCTAAAAATACATTGATAAACCCGACAATTTGCGATTGCAGGCATTTCGCTGCTGCGTGACAGCTGGTGCGGTAGGTTTGACCACCAGGAGTGAATCATGACACATCGTCATTATTCACCTCTTGTTTCACTAATGATGGCCAAGGTTCCAGAGTAGGTTTTCGTTGTCACAGCCTACCTTGGTGACAGGCAGCTGCTTCCTGTAGTGTTTCTTCTCGTCCTGTGCGAACCAGTCGGGCAGGTGATCCTCAGGGCCGGTCGTGTACCTATGTGTCAACAACGTGAATATCGTATTCGCCTGTCTCTCGCCATCGCCACTATCATTTATCTCACCCGATATCAACCTCGTATTTTACCTCATCGACCAATATCAGTATATCGATATATATATATACATATATCGATCTATTAATATATATCAATCATCGTGTCATCGTAATGTCATATCTGTCACCACCATTATTCCATCATCCATCCCACCATCATCACGTCATATATTGCCATTGTATCATACATACATCACAATCGTATCATATATATATATTTCTGCTATATCGTATATATATAATACGTATATATATAATATATCACCATCATGCCATCGCCAGAAGACAAAAAAATGTGTGAATTTTTTTTTTAGAGTGATAGATAACCTAGAACAACAACGTGTTGCTATTTGTTACGACCGTCGCCAAGCGTTGCCATCGGTTACGCACCTGTTAAAGGCGTTGTCAACGATCTCCCGCCTACTCTTCCTCGAGTTCACCATCATCGCCCCGAGCGCCAGACCCGCCGGATCCAACTTCCTCTTGCCTGCAACAAGAAACAATTGTCAGTCGCTGCTGCACCATGGTTCATACAAGACTGAAAAATGTTTCAAGGACTTTTCAAGGACTTTTCAAAGATATTTTATCAGAAATTCAAGGACATTTTATCGGACATTTTATCGGAATCCATACACAGAATAAAACATACCTGGATTAATTTAATAATAACTCCATTCTTAATCACTGTCACCTCTAAAACTTACCTGGATCACATTAATAAACCCTTCTAAACACTGTCACTTCTACAACATACCTTGATTTAGTGACTGATTTTACTGACTTACTGTAATTTGTGATCATCATTTAACTGTCTATCGTGTCTATAGCTTTTTAAGCTCATTTAACACAATTTTTATTGAGGTTTGCACATTAATGATGGTACAAAATTTATTTTTATTACAGGCAAGGATTCTTTCTAAAAATTCAAGGACATTTTCATGAAATTCAAGTACTTTTCAAGCACAAAATCAACATTTACTAAATTCAAGGACTTTTCAAGGACTATGTGCACCAGCGCCCACTATCACGCGCGACATGAGATTTGGGAGTGTCAGAGGCATTTACGTTTATCACGTTTTGATGCTACGAACGACAAACTAGTTCAAACAATCGGCGAGAGATTGGCTACCGTATGTAGTCACAATTCAACACTCTTGTTATTTTACTTATAGGCGTAGACCGACAGAACATCCCCACGTTTCACGCCTCGACCACTTGCGCTCGGAAACCCCATTTCACAGCCGGCTCCTAGCTCTCGACTACCACTAAGCCGACGCGCGTACCTATAATTACCACTCTATCATTACTACACTTTAGCAGCGTGTTTTGCAGCTGAAATGTTTCCAGAAACGCGCATCACTTCTCGAGAGGCAACGAAACCAGCGACGGTGATTACGAACGGGTTTACTCACCAGGTCGCCCCGCCGCCACGATCTCGAAGCCGTCCTTCTCCGCCTGCTGCCGAGTCTTCTCCTTCGTCGTCTTCGTCTGCTTGCCTCCTCCTCCTCCTCCTCGCACGGCTTCCCCAATGTCGTAATCGCTGTCCTCCCCCGAGTCCGTCTCTGCGCCTGCCACCTCCTCCCCGTCCGACCCTCCCTCCTCCTCGTCATCGTCCGACTCCCAGCAAAGCCGTGACGAGTCACTGTTGTCGTCGGCGCCCCCTGCTGGCGGAAAGTTCTCCCCGTCGCTCGCCGCCTCGGCCTTCTTCTTCTGTTTATTCTTCGACTTCTCCGCTTTCTTCTGCTCTGGTTGTCGCTTCGTGGCGACGTTCCCTGCGGAGAGAAACGCCTCGACAATTAATGACGAACCCGTTTCCGCGTTCCTAACATAAAAAAACAATGCTAAAAACAATGCTTAGCGGCGACATGATGCCCAGTCGAGGTTTTTCCGTGAGCTCGACCATACTAGCGACGACGGTAGACACCAAGAAGCATGGCATGGTCATGTATCGTTCAGATACAGGACAGTGTATTATCAGGGGGGTTACACGTTCATTAAAATATCATTAATCGAGAGTTACATTATATAATTCTCTGGCATACGTAATACACAACACTACATCGTTACATGATACCGCGTGGACAACGATATTTCAGTTGACAGTTCACTGAGAGTTATCGGGGCTGTTATCACGCACCTAACATATCATACTATGCGCACACGGAAACGATAATTCGCGACAGTTATCAGAGGGAAACAAGCAGGGAAAAAAATAAAATTTATTTTTCGGGGGCTACTTTTCAAGCTCGCGTGCATGAAAATAGCACTCTAAAATTTGTTTGCATTGAACTCTATGCAAATTTACGGGGGCTCTTTTTGGCATTTCCGGGGCTCTTTTTGGCATTTCGGGGGCTAAATCGCCCCGAGCCCCCGTGTATTTTTTTCACTGGAAACAAGTACCTAGCACGACGCCGCCTCGTTTCTCGTAAGCCCTCGCCGCCTCCATCACCTCCACGTCCTCGTCCTCATCGTCCTCCATGCCCTCGAAGACGTCCTTCTCGAACCAGAGGTCGGCCTGGCGCCGGCCGCGCACGCTGCGCGACTCGTTGCTCAGATCCACCACCAGGGGGTTCTCATCGTCGTCGTCGTCCGCCGCGTCGTCGCTGAAATGAGACCGTCGGCGAAAGTTTGAACTCGGCGCATACAGGTGGCGCCAGTCGTGCGTGCAATCGCAGCGACCTACCGATCACGTCTGCTAGGGGCTTTTTTTCCTGAATTACTGCATATCTGGATGCTGCCTCTGGCGGGCCGGCTCTGGCGCACGAGAATTTTTAAATTCTGAAATCGAATCTTCTCTCAACCTTGTACATGAGAGTCACTCGAGGGAGACCCTAAGAGTGCCCTTTTTTAGGCAGGTGTCCTTTCTATAGAGATGTCCTCTAACATAGGGTTGATTGTAAAAACACACTGCCTTAGCTGCTACAAGAAATAAATCACAAATACAAATCGAACCACATATATGTACAAATCAATATGAATGAAATATATAATGCAATATATTTATAAATACATTACGATGAATAAAAATAACACGTATGAACATGGCGTTATCGGATCATACCTGTCGTCCTCGTCGTCGTCATCGGTGTCTTCCTCCCCGCCCTCCTCCTCATCCTCCTCATCTTCCCCGTCGGAATCTTCCTCGTATCGGTCATAGACCGCTCGCGGCTTCTTTCCCGCTTGCTCCTCCTCCTGCTCCTGCTCCTCGTCATGTTCGTTGTCCATCACCTCCTTTCCGACCTTGACCTCGGCCAGTTGCTGCAGAGCAGACGACCGATCAGAACTCGCGGGGCGGAAACACAAGAACGCTCGGCGAGAACCACCACAGTTCTCGGCAAGTTTCCTTAACGGGTGGGGAAAGATCGGTAACGAAGGGGTTTTGTTAATGAGGGGTCTTCGTTAATGAGGGGCTTCCTCAACGAGGGGCTTTATTAACTCGAAGCATCGTTAATGAGAGGGCTTCGTTAACAAGAGGCTGCATTAAGGTATGGGTTTTTGTTAATGAGAGGGTTTTACTAAAGTTGGGGCTTCACCAGGGTAAGGGTTTCACTTTGCTAATGCTTCACTGCACACAGGGCTTCACCTTCTTGCTCTTGATGCGCGAGAGGCTGAAGATCTCGTCGTCGTACGCCGTCAACGGCGCGTCGTTTGGCAGCGCCATCTTCAGGTCGAGTT